CTCACTGTAAATGCAAAATTCTCCTAGTGCAGAAGCTCCCTTGGTCTGGAACGATTGTGCGAGGGCCCAGTTGTGAGAAGTCCAGTCCCTGTAGCAGGAAGTTCGTGTGCTGTGGTGGCTGTTCCGGCTCAGGGTTCACACACAGTCGTTCCCAAAACCAGAAACACAGCTCACCTGAATGCACGGTGCACTGGACAGAAGTGGCCGGGCCGTTCCACAGATAGCGCTTGCCAGCTGGTGAGCTTTAGCCCATCCAAGGTGCAAGTGTCTGTTTCCATTAGCAGCACTGGGCATTCGAAAGGTGGAATTGGCTCGTGGTTATGAGAGGGCGGGGTAAGACAAAACCAGGCTGCAGGGACCTGGGCTGAGGTGGCAAGAAAAGCAGTCAGAGAGCCCCTGCCCGGCGCCCGGTACGCAGAGCCGAGCAGCGCCCCGTGGCCGTCCTGCTTTGGGCAGGGCTCGCTCGCACAGCGCCGCTCCCAGGGCCTGGGCACCCCCAGCACACCCCCGGCCAGCGCGGTGTGTGGATTCTCTTTGCACAGCAGGAGGAGGGCGAGTTCTCTTGCCAGTTGCTTCATGAAGTAACAGAGATTTGAGCGCTGCTTTATCGTAAGTGATACCGCACTCTGAGCCTCCCCTAGTTCTCCTCATATTTTAACCTATGTTCTTTTTCTTAGTGTGAAATTCTCCACCCCAGTGACAAACGCAGTCTGTACTCTAAAGAGCCTGCGGGCTCACCTCTTCAGACCTACTACAGAAAGCCCTTACTTTTCAAATAAATCTTCCAAATTTATTGGACAAAAATTACTGTTTTGAGTCCACATTCAGATCATCACATTACCACTGATTTTAGTGAAAATTGTATTTAACAGAAACAAATTGACCCTTGCTATGCAGTTGATACCTGTAAGTGAAGGCCTTTTGTGAGATGTCTCCCAGTTAGCTGTAACATGTACAGAAATAGACTTATGAAGCTTAATGCGAAATGAGTCTTCTGATGTGAGCATCACTGTAATTTTTTTCCTTGAACAGTAACAGTAGCTGATTATATATCACGAGCTGAGTCTCAAAGTAGACAGAGAAACCCTCCAAAGGAGACGCTAGCCAAAACCAAGAAGGAAACGGTAAGAAGACGTTTTGGGTTTTTTTTATTGTATGTTTCCTTTTTCCTCTTCCCTCACAGCCAGACGCTGAAGGATGAATGCTTCATTTAGCTCACCCTCGTTTGACAACAAATGCATTCGAGTTCAGGAATAAATCATTAAAAGCAAAAATGGCCCAGAGTAAACAGGAGGGACATTGACTCGTAGGCTGTCATTGCAGACTTCAGTGACGAGTGTAACGCTCAAATTAAGTCTTTATGCGCTTGAAAATACTGCGCTTCCTAATGCAGTGTTGTGTAATAAAATGTGAAAGTCATCCATGGATGGGGCTTGAGAACTAATCCTGCAAACCCTTGATAAGCAGAGGATACCACACAGCATGTTCAGTGACTCAAACTTAGAAAGAGTTGAGGTTACAAAGACTGTAGATTTGAGCTCTGTCCTCCTTAAAGGATCACAGTGGCATCACATTTAAAAATTAATTAATATTCCAATGTGAATAAAGCCAAATCCCTTTACTTGTGAACTAACGTTGAACTTCCTGCCACAAGTTGGGTCTGAGTTTAGCGCAGTAAGAAAGATCCATTGCTACGCTGTTAACAAAGTGAATCTTGGGCTAGGCTTTGAAAGGGCTGTAAAACAGCTTTTCAGTTAACGTCTTCAGTAGCTTAGAGAAAGGGGAGTGGTGGATTAAAACATTCTGGGTGTCGGGGGGATGGGGGCGCTGTCTCTGGGGACCTTGGCACAATTTCCTGGGAAGTGCCTGGTGCAGGAGTGTCCGGTAAATGCCAGGGTGCTGTAAACGAGGATACTGGCACAGACAGCCCAGAGGGGCTTCCTGCTGCAGAGCTGCTGTGTGAGCCAGGGGGAGATCGAGATTACACCCTGGGTGTTTCTACGTGATTTTTAATACTTTCCTGTTTCTGGTTCTGCAAGGCAAAAGATGCGATTGATGAAAACAGCCCTTCCGAAAAGGCGGTGAATGGTCCTGCCACAGCTGCTGGGGATGAGCCTTCTAAACTACAGCACAGTCCTGATGAGAAGAAAGTCACTGTTCAAGAGGATGGAAATAATCAGGAAGAAGCAGTGCTGAATGGTGTTTCATAAACTGAAGTTCTTCCTAGTTTACAGTTCTTTTACGTTACATTTAAAATAGTGCTTGTATAAGCTTGCCAAAGATAGAATATGGATCGCCAGTCTTGACACCGCACTTTCAGTTCCTCCATTTTGGAATACAGAAAGGGGAGGGATCCTGAAGAAATCATATGTTAAACATACTTTGACACCTACTGTGTTATAAATATATCATCAGATGTGCCTTGAGATAGTATATGTAACATTTAAATAAACAAAATTGCTGGCTATAGGAAATGTTATTTTGTTTTCAAAATACGGCAGAGATGTGAGGGGGATCCCTAACATAATACTCTTTATGAAAGCATTAGCTGCTTTTGTTACATTTTTAATAATATGCAACCACTTCTTCACCTGAGGAATACTAGAAAGAAATGCAGTCTAAAATATTTTGCACTGAAATGTAATTTCTCCATTAGTTTAGTCTGGAAACTGGTCTGTTTTAATACATGTTTTTTAAATGCTGTATGTAGAGGAAAAATCTGCAGACCACTGGAATACATTTGTTAAATTCTCATAATCTGCAGGGATATTGGGTGACATTGGCAGTGACTGTTCTACATTGAGGCTTTGTTTGGTTTATTTATTAAACTGTACAGTATTTAAAAATCAAACATAGCTTTAGTTAACACTAAGCTGAATTAGTCATGTCCATTAAGACATAACCTGAACTACTGAAAAGATCAATTTCCAGAAAGTTTATTCTGTATAAACTACATATGTTAGTCCTTAGTAGAGTATTTTTATTTTTGTTTTGGTTGTTTGATGTGCAATATGTTTTTTTTGTATGCTGGTAGTAAAAGAAAATAAACTTTGATCTTCCATCTGTTGACTGTTTCTATCAGAAATCTAAATTACTATTGACTTCAAGGTTTTCAAGCTGTTCTTCACCCTAACAATTGGAACTTACTTGCGAGGCAGCTTGAACCTTTAACTCTTTTGTGAGAGTTTTCTAACACGCTCATCTTCCCTTCTTTGAGGAGATGATGTAAAACCTCAGTTAACAAGTCTAAAAACAGACTTACCTTGGAGAATCACGTACCCTGACTAACATATATAGGAATTAATGCAGATGCTTTTGACTGGGAAGCGGGCGGTGTGACGCACTAACCCATCTTTTCAGAAACAGAAGACATGGGCGTGGAAACCATCTGGGTAGCAAGGAGAAGTCGTAACAAGTCAGAGCAAAGTGCTAGTCCTGAAGTTGTGCTGACTTGAAAGAAAAAAGTTCTGTCTTACCTGATCTTGTCAGAAGTAAGGACAAAGCCACGTGTCCTGAGCCACCTGTGCCTCCAGCTGCTCTACCCCATGCAGCTACGGGGGAGCTGGGCTCGGGTATGTACTGTGTGTAAGGAGAGGGGCGGGTTTTGGTGCGACTTAAGTGTTGACACCCAAGGACCGTGTTCCCTCCTGGAGAACAAACACAGCCAAACTGTTACAGCTCTGAAGTGTGCACGAGCATCTCGACTGATATGGCAGCCACAGGAGCAGAGAAAATGTAAAAAAGGGGGAAGGAAAAAAAAAGCAAGCTGTTTAAAAAGTCAGTTTTAGTGGCAGGGAGAAACTTCAGTGCGCAGTGCTGTGCTGCGCAGGAACTGCTGCAGGGTGACAGGCCAGCGGACTTCTTGCCCCGCTTCAGGCTCTGTAATAAAGTTCTCCCCACCTCTCTGTAGGTTCTGCGTGTCCTCTGTTCCGTACTGCCGGCACCGATCTGTTCCGCTCTGCTGAAGGCCCAGAGCCTCCTCGCTGTGCTCTGCACCACGAGGTGACCGGGCTGCAGAAGCGCAGCGAGGCAGCAGCCAGCCTTCCTGCAGAGGACACGAGGTACCGACAGTCACGCTGGGGGCAAGGAGAGCCCCGAGATGGGCTGTGCTGGGAACAGCCAGGCGGTGGCTCTTCCCCAGGCTGTACAAGTTCTACCGCCACTGCAGGAAGCCCGGCAGGAGTCCTGGAGCGGACAGAACTCTGGCCCCAGGCAGGTACTCGGAGACAGCCGCTGGGGTGCATTAGGCTTCGTGCAGAACCGTAACGGGCTACGGAAAGAGTTCCTGTTCCCTAATTACTATAAACACAAACCTAATTATGTGAATTCTAACTTTGTAGCATAGGGCGGTGTATAAAACTACAGTAGTTATTTTACAAATTTGGAATTTATTAAATGCTATAAAATCCATTAAAAACTGGAAGTTACTAAAAAGTCTGGGCCATTCCAGACCCATCAGTAACACGCAGGCAGATCAACCAACCTTGTTTTTCACAAGGCAAAGACAACCGTGTACATTGTTTCCTACACTTTATTTCTTCAGTCAGAGACAACCACACATCTGTCCCAATTCTTCCCATCAAATAAATCCTCTTGATTTTTTTCCACCTGCTCCCCAAACCAGTTCATCCTGGTAACTTTGGCATACAGAAGAACAGCAGCAAGAACTTTAAACACAGCTAGCTTAACGAAAATTAAGTAGCAGCATGTGAGTCTGCCTGTATCTGGTAACATGCATTGACCAAACCAAGTTACTGCTCTTTTACACTGAAAGTATCAGTGGCAGATTTTGCTGCTTAATAACATACAGCTATGAAAAAACTTTAAGCCTTTTTCCCTCACACATTTCCCAAAAAAGTGACTGAGTGGGGAGGGAAGTACCTCCCTGGGTTCATATTTCCAGTTGCATTTATATTAAGTCAAAAACTGACATTAGAACTTTTCTTAAGCCACTTATCAAAAATAATCATTTGCATGGACAAACCCCCTGATTTTCTCCCTCATTTTTTAGCTTGGTCTTCCAGTAAATCTTTAGCTTCATTGATTTTGGCCGCTACATATGGAGAACCACCTAGAAGAAAGATAAGCTCATGTCACATCAGATTAAAAAAATATTTTCTTTCTGTGTTGTTACTAATGCCACAGTACACAAGGAAAAAAGCGAGGGCAGGGTCTGAAAGTCACTCAAAGAACAAACAGCGCTGTGACTGCAGCCGTGCGAGCTCACACGTCAGTCACTGCAGCAGCTCGACGTGCAGACGGCTCCTTCGCGCTGCTTTTAGTTTATTGGCATGGGGATTTTCCTCTCCAGTTTTGTTGGTCACAAAGGAACTGGTCCCAAATGACTTGGCATAAAGTTAGTTGTGAATACAGAAGCGTTAAACTGACAGGTCTGCGGCTAAACCTTCCCCAAGTTCAAGGCCAGCGTAGGAACCGCTGCCGTACCAGCACGCTGGCCCAGGTTTTGAACACGACACACAAACGACTTAGGAAGGCACCGACAGAATCCACATGCAAACGCACTGAAATTGTAACTGACCGTGAGGTGCCAAGGTGCATGTGTAGGACGGATACCACTTACGAGTACTAGGCTGGCTCCATTTGCTTGAAGCTTAATTTAACTTATGTAGGTCACGTAAAACATGTACAATGCTCCTAGGAGGCTTTGGATAGCGATTTTTAGGTTCTGCATATATTCAATAGTTAATTTTGAGGTTAACTTCCACTAGGTATTGCCAATGAAAGGCATATCCCAAGGATTACTTTGGATTTTGGTGCATAAAAGTAAAGCAGCGAAGTTCAACAGTCACTGTAAAGGAAGCCGTTTTACCTTTTAAGTAAAGGATTTTTAAGTGAGGATTAAAAAGTTAAATGCCAAGCACTAACACATGATTCTGACTCACTGAAGTAAACAGAACTTAGAGCAGGTATAGATGCCTTAAGTTACTACAGAATATTTCATAGTTCAGTGTCTCCAACAGAAGGCTCAGGCCTCGCCGTTTACGGCAAATTCCCAATGCACTCAACGGAACGCGAACGCACGTGGTACGTAAAGCGCACAGATGAGTCTGGGCTCTCATCTAAAATGCAGGTGACTTTAAGTCTCGTTTTAACAAATCCCATTTTAATCTGATACGCACAGAAGAGACAGCAAGGAACACGCTTGCTGAACCCATCTGCTTGCTTTGGAGCATTCAAACACAAAAAGATGCTCCAAAACCATTAAGGCTTAAGGCACCCTAAAACCTGTTTTCACTCAGAGTTTTCTGAGGTTTAGTACCTGAGGCAGCCAGATGGCGGTTACTTCTTCCCCACACAGCTCTATTAATCTGTGTTAAAAACATGTATTAATTAACCAACAAGACTTAATTTACTTACCTTTATCTGGATGATTCAGAAGCATGATCCGTCTATGAGCTTCTCTAATTTTACTTCTGTTGGCTGTAGGGCTTTAAAAGAGAGAAAAACTGACTTAAGGGAACCTCATAAAATTCCCCAGATGTCTTAAAAGATGTCTTAGAACAGGGAAGCGCTCTCTCTTATCCGTAAGCTTGTTGGCTGACGTGTATGTCTGTCTTTTCCTATTACTGTCCGTAGCATGTAAGTCCTGCTGAGGGTTTCTGAAGTTTTTCCAGAACACTCTATGCCGAAGCAGACATGCTACAGCAGTCTGATATGGTGGGCGTCATTCACGTGGTTGAAAAGAAACACAACTATGTTCTTAACGTTTTTATTGGGACAACTTCCTAAAGGCTGGAGGAAAGAAAGTAAAATAAAATTTGCTCTTGATTTATTTAAAAAAAAAAAAAAAAGCAACAACAGAACAAACAAAACAACAAACTGTTTGCGTACAAACTTCACAGCTGGAAGTTGCCTTCAAACAGAAATGGTTCTTGTTCTGTAGTTTATTAGATAAAGTTGTGTATTTGGTCTTAAGTCTCTTTTAAGTTTTGGCAGGGATAGCCACCGTACTCGTATCGAAGGTATTCCAGAAGTGACGAATTTGCTCCACACACAAGCAGTGGGTTTGCAGCACCTTCGCGCTGCATCTGTCTGGCATTCACCAGCGGTGACAGGAGCCACAAGCCAAGGCCCAACCCCGCTCCCCCTACCCAGTCACCCCGAGGCTTCCTGACTACGGCTCGTTTGCCTGGACCTGCACACGGCCTCTGCACGTGCTAGGGATTTGCGGAGGGATGCAAGTCCAGCCCGAGCTAGCTATCAGCAAGCTAACGCGCAGCAAAGAATCCCAAATAAGTAGAGAAGATCCTGAAAGGCTGCTCCACATTCCCTGACCGGGCAGTGCCATTCCCAGGGGAAGCTGGGCATAGGACAGTCTTAAGCACCGAGATTTACGTCCTTCTTAAACCAGGCCAGCAACTAGGTACACCATAGCGTCCTTTTTACCTTTCCTTTCTAATAAATTTCCTTTTACCTCACTCCTAGTATTAGAGCTGCTTCTCGTTTAGTCATTTTGGGTTCAAATCCACCTCTGTAATAACCACTGAAGGCCTGAAAGAGAAAAACGTGTTAGAAAACATCAATTTTTAAATTTATCCGTTAAAACAACTCATTATTGCTTTAGTATCTGCTGAGCTTTTAGTCTGTAAGAAGCTTCTTTTGCACTTGGAATAAGAAATTCAGTTGAAGTAGAGTATCATTATTTAAACGAGTACTTAAACTTGCCAAAACAAGTTCTCTATTAGTTCACCACCACCAGAATTGCCGAGATTAATTCTGTTACTGCTGACAAAATTGTGTTGTGTTTAGAAGGAAATAACAGCAATGCTACACAGAGACAATAGTCTGTAGTTACTTCACCAAGTAAACTTCTAAATAAAAAGATGCTACTGATAAAAGAACAACTTACAGGTTTTGGTAGATTCTGAAGCGCTTGTTTTACTTGTGGCTCCATTTGCTTCATAGCTTTTACCGCGTAGCGACCTTAAAGAAACCAGTGTTGAACAAGGCTAAATATAAAATTTCATAAAGGTTTAGCAATTCAGTGCAACTGGTAACGTGTGGATTAGAATGTAGAATAAACTTTGCTCTTGTTTAATGACAGCCGTGTTTCTCAATACAGGCTCTCCCCCAAAGAGTGCCCTGTATCAGCTAAATCCCTTAAAATTCGTCAGTCCTGAGGCGGGCACTGATAAGCACACAGGGTGTGCAGCGTCCTCCCATCATCTACCAACCTGCAAATCCAGCTGCCGCTATGGTCAGGCCGACTGCCACCCCCACCGTACTGGCCTACACAGGGAAGACACAAAGCATTTGTTCGCCGAAGGAAAAGAAAAACCGCCCACCCTGCAGTCTCTACGGCGTCGAAAACAGCACGACCAGGGGACAGGCGGCCATTAACATCATTTCCTTCAGCCAGGCAGCAGGG